TAGCCTGGATTACACGTTGTGTGATTGGATTGCGACACGCAACCTCAATACAATGGACTGTGATTCACATTGAAATGAACCTTAGTCACTGCGATCGCTGGGACCGTATTCAAAGTAGATGGAAATTGGGTATTGCCCACCCGAAAATACTGCACAACCACGACGCGTTTCGATGTAATTTTTCATCTCATCAGGTGGAGACAGCAGGATTTGAACCCAGGACCATTGGAATAGCAGCCAACACTACTACCCCTTTGGCTACCGGGTCACGATGGGCCTGGGTTCAAATCCTGCTGTCTCCACCTGATGAGATGAAAAATTACATCGAAACGCGTCGTGGTTGTGCAGTATTTTCGGGTGGGCAATACCCAATTTCCATCTACTTTGAATAGTGTCCGTGCTTCTTCTGTGGCGAAGGAGCTGGGTCAGTTGGCGGTAGAAGTCGTTCTTTACCGAATCATCGCTACAGTTTGTGGGCGCATAGGCAGCGATGATGAATAGACATCTATTAGTGCCGCGCGACTTCGAAGCTTTAAACGAGCCAGCCAATCGGACCGCACACATCCGGCTACTGATTGGAATCCAATCAACCAGAGCAGCTTCAGCCCGGGGACTCAGGGCAATACCAACACCGGCTTGGCCGGTGCTCGAAGCTGCATCCTCACCGGATAGGCGCAAGGAGAAAATACTGCTTGTGTCCCCTGAAGGGGATCGCAGAGTGAACACAGTGCTCGAGTCTTGCAGGCGAGTCTCTGATAAGCAGCAGATATTGATCGAGAGGGTCTCCAATGTTCGGGCAAGTGCTGCCTGTTGACCGATTTGTAGCAGTGTGCGTACATTGAGGCATGCCAATCTGAAGGAGGATCGAGGGCTCCAAATGGAAGCCGATGAACTGGATTGGACCGCTTGGTTGGACATGGGCTTGTCGACAGGAGAGGAGTGACGCTCCGCGTTCACGTGTGAGTTGAAATTAGAAGGTAAATGCCTAGCAAAGCATGTTGGGGGAGGGCCAAGAATCGGGGGGTTGAAAACTGGGGGGATATAAGTGAAGTTGGAGCAGGACGGTGAGAGTGAAAAAGCGTAAGATGGGGAATAAGAAGACGGGAAGGCTTGAGCAGTAGCATCCAAACCCCTATCCACCCTGCTCGATGCAGCAGATAGGGCACCGTTTATTATCCTCTGCGGTGGCCAGACCATCAAGAAATTGTTTGAAGGAAAATTCATAGTATTGCATGGGCAGGACACTGTCAGGAGAACGATTAGGGTTCTCAACCAAAGCCTTTGGTTCAAAAACATGACCGCAAGGCAGCGGGTTTGGCGTTGGGCTACAAGGAGTCCATTTTAAGGAATAAGGTGCTACCCTCATTCCAACCCCCAACCTGGAGGACCAGGAGGCTGAGTTTGTCTGGCCTCTAACCATTGACCAATCTGGTATGAGTGACTCTGAAGGTGCAAAAGCACCACCCAGCGTAGCTCAATGGATCGCTGAGGCACACAAACCATCGCACCACGGTAAGGTCCAGCCTCATTGCGATGGGTGTGCACTACCATGTATGTATGTTGTATTCATGATGCTTCTTCACTGCAGTTGGGCTAAACCAACTTAAACTAGGTCTTTTTACTGTGGATAAAATCTATTCCACTTTATTTGGTTTGTTCTGCATACTTGATAATCTTCCCCTAACTTGAACACGTCGCTCATACAAATTGTGGTAAACTTGCGTAATTTTATCGCGGGGTATATTTTAAATAACTTTCGGACATTTTGTACGTATTGCGAATTCACTCATAACCAATATCTTCCATATGCTCATTTAGCGAGTATCTATGTCGTCATATGCGTTTACTTTATTCGATATCGGCATTTCGAATGATCGGCTGTTGTTTGACATCCCAGGTATGGCTGCGCTTGATGTACAAGTTGACAGGTGCCTCCCTGTCTATTACCCACTATCTCGTCCATCTGGCTCCAGGAAACAGTTGGTCGTTGCTAGAGGGAACGGGGTGCACGGTTCTTGTGGTCGTGCTATGCTCGAAGAGTGGTTCCATGCAATCAGTGTGGAGCGGACTACGGTGCAACCACCGCCTTGTGTGCGCTTGATTCCCAAATACAGCGTGCTTGTGTTTGGCTGTGAAGAAGTGTAGGCCAGCTTCGTTGACGAAACATGGCTCCCATCCACATTCCTTCCGCTCTTATTCCTTCGGGTTTACACTGGATATGGGGTGTGTATGGAGCTGTGGGTGGTGCAGCGCAAGCGATCCATGGTCCCTCTGTAGTCGCGGGCGTCCTATGACTCGCCTCAGTGACAGGCAAATCCGAAACCGGATGCCGCCAATCATGTATGTAAAGCATGCCTTGCGAACGAGGGGATGCGACACCCCATTAGCGATCTTAATGCTAGTTTGGCACTGGCGCAGCCCAAGCTTTTGACGACCAACCAAAGCTCGGGCATACGATGGTACTGTATCCGGATGGCGAGGCATTCACAGGTGCATGGCTGCGTATGACGGAGGTGGTGTGACGGGCTTGCCAGTAGATCGACAAAACAGGCCTGCGCAACTGAAATACATGTTGGAAGGTGGTCGCCTTGGGTTATAGAGAGTCGTCTTGAGCGGCGGTCCACTGAAAGGGCTGGTGCCTAAATATAACTGTGGCCACTTTGTTACAAGGTGAGTGGGCCTTGCTTTGTTACAGCAGACGTCGCTTACCCTCATGGTGGATGCAGTATAACGGCTTGATTGTCCCTGAATCAAATGAGATACTGCGACCGGGCTGTCGGAATTTCGCATCGACTGATTTGTACGCACATGCATGGGCGGACTGGTGCGGACCGAACGTAAGGGCAACTGACACGCAATTCGGTGCGCATCAACTGCATTCGTATCCAGTACTCAGTTTAGTGATATGTTCACACGTGGGAGTTACTCCATCGTTGCTCGGCATCTTTGTCTGTCCATTTCACCGCCTCTTCTCTAGCCAAGGTGTATGGCCGACACAGCATATAGGCGAGCGTGTAACGCTACACGCTTCGGCATGTGTTGCGGGCCCGTCCAATATCCCCGCAAAAACGCGCCAGGAACTCCGGCATAATGGCTGTGGAAAGCGGGGTCAAATTCCTCCCCACGGCTCAGCAGCGTTCAGCCACTCCGAGACGCGGCCCAACTGCACATCTGTTGGCAATGTTCTTTTACAAACTACCACCCAGTCGTGGTAGCAGTTTTCCCTAACTTAATCGCCCATTGCATTGGCTGTGATTCGCCCTTTGTTTTTTGTGAAAGAGCCTTCAGAGGACCACTTGTCTTGCTTCCTCTTCGCCTTAGTTGGGAGTCGGTCGACCACCTTATTTTGTATGCTTCGTTAGCCCGGCAGCGTTCGCGTCTAAGTCACTAGCGCGCGTCAACCGTAACCCCCCTACGTGTGCGTCCGTTCCGAGGGCTCAGCGTCTACCCGAATACGTGCGGCT